TTCGCAAAGTTTGTATTCGAATTTTTTCCAACCAAAGGTAACTTTCTAATATCTCTGGAACTGCCTTGCTCGATAAGAGATTGATAAGCGATTCCACATGAGCGATAGAAGTAAATATTTCGGCCATCGATGATTGTAAAAGGAAGAAATATACTAGAAATTTCATCTGAAAATTAATTTTTCGAAAAATTTCACCTTAACTAGAAAATCTTAAATAAGAGATTTATTGCATTGCATTATCGCAAACTTACTGCAGCGCTACATCATCGTCCATGAAATTTCGTTGATAGTTCTGAGAGCGACCAATTTCCATTGCCAAATATTTCTCGTTTTTTGGGTTTTAAGCCATAAATAAATTGTTTTAATTGGTACCAATAAATTTGCATTTGCTAAGACGAGTCAACAACGAGTCAACACTGCTTAATTTATGGCTTTGGTCACTTCCTTCTTTTATGTTTAACCGTGACGCAAAATAAGGCATTTAACCATACAATTAAAAAGGCGAATAAGGGCGAATCGGAAATTAATTTTTTACCATCAATTTTCCGCTCTATTAGTTATTTCTGCTTACCGTATTAACTTATTAAATAATCGTTCTAGTCGCTGTCTACGAAAAGGAGAAAAGCTTTTGCAGTTGAAACCGTGTGACAGTAAAAAAAAGGTGACAACCTCTCTTCGACAAGCGATGTTCGACTTTTTACTTTCGCTTCCAATCATCATAAACAACAAAAGTTTGTTGAACGTTCATGAAAGAGATTCTAAAGCTGAGCAAACTGAACCAATATTTCTCCTTTTTTCACTTCAATTTAGCCTTTCAATAAGAAATATTATTTTTAAATATTTCATTAAAAAATTTCTTATTTAAGTCCTCAAAATATCTAAAATAATTTATCTAAAATAAATTTAATAAATATTAAAATAATTTCCTATTTCCTATTCTGGCACTAGTGAAACCCTCATGCGTTCATCATATATGAAGTGTGCCATTTTTCTAGCGAACCTTGCAGCGTATTACGCCACTCTCCTGCTAGAAGATTCACATAACGTAGTACCTTTTCTCAGACCTTCCCAAAAAAAATTCAAAAATTTGGCAACTATTTAAAGAAGCACCAAAATATTTTGCTGAGCCAGGCGACTTTTTTAATTGTCGTTATTTTTATAGTTTATTATTTATTTTTATTTTCAAGGCATCAAAACATCAGTTTTAAACGTTTTAAGAAAAGCTCAGAAGAACATAATTTCTAAGTGGAATTTCTAACTGTTTGGTTGTACAATATGCATTGGAATGAAACCATCGGAGAATCAGAACATTGGGAATTCTTTAATGAAATTTACTCTATCACGTATCTTCTTATAAATCCTTAAATCTCTAATTTTTTCTGATGCTAAGCGGTGAAGATGGACTGCTCGAAAAAAAGTGTTAAATTAATAGTATATTGAAGGCTTCCAGTATTTCAAAAAGATGAAATTCAACAAAATGTATGAAAGGTTATAAAAGTTAGGATGCTGAAGGTATTGCTGCATCAGAAATAAATTGCCAACTCAGTTTCGAATCATCAACAAATGATTTTGCGCATTTGAACACTATTTCTGTATGAAAGATATGCAAAAGATGATCGTCCACAGTTTTTTCAAAAAAACCATCGGAAATTTATCAATTATTCGTTGGAAATTGGTTCGAAAGTGCAAAAGTATAATTAGAACATTGGGAATTTTTTAATAAAAATTGCTCTGTCATATTTCGAGAAACATTGAAAAGCTGAATTAATTTCTTTTTCTAGATTTTGTAAAAATTTTTGACGGGTGATTTGAAATAAAGAGGACGAGAGAGATGAGAGATTAATTAATAGATTTGCTTTTATTATTCTTTTTCAGCCGATCAACAATAGGAAATAAGAAGGAAATGATCAGAAATAAATTGTTTTGCATAGCTTCTGTAAATTTCATGGTTCAAAATATACAGACAAATTCATGAATCCACTTCATGCCAACGAAAAAATTTTATCTCTAAGTTTTTCCGGTACTTGCGAGCTGCAACTATATAATTTTTTATATAATTTATAATGTTTTATATATTATTCAATAAATAATGAAAAAATGACCGTTAGAAACTCTAAGGGCCATAATCTATGAATCGAGAAAAATGGAACGAAATTAAAATTTCGAAATTTTGACTAAGATTTTCTTGTTGAAGAAAATTCAACCGCTCATCGTGCATAGGTTAAAATTGAATTTTTTCAGCGATTTCTTGCTCCAATCTCGTCATACAGTAAATTTATTTTTCGGTTATTTTGCATGCAAACATTCTTGTTTGCCTCGACTTACTAAAAAATTTCCTCCATAATAATATAGAAAAAAAATAAAAAGAAATCAATCTGTACCACTTTCTGCAAAAAGAAGCAACTTTGAATCCGATCTATTAAAATTAAACTAGAATTTGTAGCCTGCAAATATAGACTGTATAAACATATTCATAAAAGTGCTAAAATGAGCGAAACGATAGATCGATATTATTAATTAATATATATAATATATTTTACTATTATTTTTACTAAAAGAAAGTCCGAAGATTCCGGAAATTTCGACGATGGTTACTCGGCCAGCCTACCCTTAGTCTGTTTGTAATTTGCCCTCTAACAAAGCTGAAGCTGAATAATAATACTAATAAAAATTCGCAATAACAAATGAACTAAAGGAACAAAAATTGGAATTAGCGAAATTCTCTTTGTTTTAATTTTTATTCGGAATTATCGAATACTCAATAATGGCATTTTGGAAATTTTTAGAGATCCCAAATTTTTAAAATGGCAAATATAATGAAAAAATAAACTTGAAAAGCATTAAAATAATTATAAAATTATCATAGGCCTATCGTCGCTATTTTGTCGTTTTTATGCAACATTTGCTTGATAATCCTTTGGTGGTTCATTTAATAATGGCATTGCATCAAATTATGCGAAGAGACCATATTGGACCATATTAGCTCAATTACCTTCTATTATAGTGTAATATTATCATAAACCTACCGTCGCTATTTTGTCGCTTAATTCCATAGATTATCTCATACCGTCGCTATTTTGTCGTTTTTATGAAACGTTTGGTTAATAAATCCTTTGGTGATTCATTTAATATTCCAAAGTTATTTCTATGAATTATATTTATATATAAATATTTTAGATTAAATATAGATTAAATATTTTAGGCAACTCATGGTAAAAAAAAGTTTGCCGTTGAACTGACAGTTTGCATCATAATTTTATACATGCGAACTTTTCATGTGAATATTAATGAAAATGATTTCGTGGTTTAAAAAAAAAACAATAATTCTATTAATAATGCACTTCAACTCGAACTTCTTTTCCGATAAAATCGTTATAACTAGTGGATGATTTGATAATTTCTCTTCAGAAATATTATGGATTATAAGGATAATAAATTTGGGTTAAGTGTAAAGAAAAAGGGACAAACGTGTTTTTTAAATAAAAATAATGCTGAATTATTAAAATTCTCTTTTTTCTCCATTTTATTCATAGAATGAAATATGGTTTAAATAGGAAAAAAGGTGAAATTATTTGATTTGAAGACCGAATAATTTATTTTTTTAAAGATTGCTCACATTTCTGCTGACTTGTGGACCATTAAACTTTATCGGGATAGATAAGAAAACACTTGGCGATAGAAATAAGAGTAAGTCATTAGCAACGACCAGATTTTTGAAAGTCTTCTGCTGTTAGCATCAGTGTTCCGAAATGAAAATAGCAACCTACAAATCATTCTATCTATGGCTTGCCAATTTCGAAATATTTTTTAGCTTTTTGGTAATTCAAGATCTAAAGGCAAATGATAATTTAAAACATTTTTATCAATTTTTTCAATTAATGGACAATTATGTCTTAGCTAGTCGCCATTGGAAGAATTTCGTAAATAATCGTTCTTATCGCGGAGCTAAGGCAGGTAGCTTTCATGGACCGTATTACGTTTGAGCCAAAATCACTGACATAAAACTGACAATTCGCAAGAGACAAGATTCCTCACAAGATCTTTCGACTGTCTTAGACTGAAAGATTCTGAGACAGTAAACGCATTTCAAACCGAATAATCTGGAACCGAATAACCGAAATATCTCAACAAAATGAATATTAGTGATATATCTGCAATGGCAGGTGAATACTGGTCCCATAATAAAGCATGCCTCTGAATATCACCCATTTCCATCCTAGGATATATTAGCACAAAATGCGCTAGTTGGATAACGGAAACAACTGTAAAACTATCCGAAAAAGCTTATTTGAAAAAGTCAAAGCGTAAATGTCAAGTTATCCTGACTATCAAATTACAGCGACAGTAGCACAGCGGGACAGAAATCACTATTGGGGTAATATTGAGAAGGCGATAATAGGGAACTATTCCTTCTTCTTCACTAAACAACTATAATTCGAGGAATGATAAATGAGATAACGGGATAACAATGGTATACCTGTTAAGACTGAGGATTACCTCATAAGGTGGAAATGTTCTTTGAGAACAAACTTAACCAAGAAACTTAACATAGCCAGTTGTTATTCCGGATATGGCTGATTTGCTCGTCGAGCCTTATATTTGCGACTGTAGAACAAGAACAATGCCCGAGAAGGGTGGCAAGACATACTGGGATAATTATCGAGGAATCAGCCCACAAAATACTATAGCACTATGAGACAGCAGGATGTGCCCCAACCAAACTGGATTCTGGTCAGTACATGGTTATTCATGGTTATAGTGATATTCACGCTAAAAAGGATTCTGAAAACATCGCTTCAAGTATCTGCACCCCACCTTCACTTCTCCCATCGATTATCATTATTTTTTAAAAAAATTCATTCGACTCATGAATGGATAGCAAATTTTTCATAGCGATTTCAGTTCTTTCAGTTCTTATTTCACTTCTTTCAGCAAACTAATATCAATCGTAATAAAAATCAGGTTCAGTGGTAACGGCAACTTGCCAGCAGTCTCTTCATCTACCAGTTCATCATGGTAAAAGGATTGACTGTGCAAAGTAGGTCTTTCCGCAGCTATGTGAAATAATAAAGTGTTCTCAGCAGTTTGTCCACTAATTTGAATATCATTCGATAATAAAAAAATCCTGTGTAATTTTTCTTCTTTTTTATAAGAGGCCAAAAACTGTTCGTTTACCTTATTTTTTTTCGATTCGCCTTTTATCGTAATTTTAAATTGAGTAAATTATTTGCACCAAAGCAAAATGAAAATAGCTTGGTGGTTTTTGAAAATCGGTAAAAGCGAGTCATTTGGTTATGGTTGATTTACGCAACGTTTATTCGGCAATAAAACGAATTGACCGTCTTAAAATTTCCTAACGAAAGTTGATAATCATGCAGTACTAATGGTTTATTCATTCGTATAGAGAAATTATGGAAATATCAACAATTGGCTCGTCTGACAGAGTCTCTATAAAATCTGAAATTAGCATCAAAACTAGACCAAAATTCGTACCTCTCTGGCTATTCTACGAGTAATCTTATGATCAGTGAGAATAAAAGATTTCAAGCAGCCTATCTGTCTTCGACCATTCTTGCATATTCTGTGTATTAGTTCCACTGCTCAGCTTCTATGAAGTTTGTATGTCAGAATTCGCTATTTGTGGGAAAAATTTATTGTTTCCATATTTTTTTACTGTTGATCCATATCTTTTTTATTGTTGATTCCTTATTATTCTGCTGCTTCTTCCTGCTACAAACCATGTTTGCAGAGCAATTATTTTATTCTTTAAAACGAAACTAGAAAAACCCAATTCCTTGAACGAAAGTACCAATATTAAAACAAAAGAGAAATATCTGCATACCCAAAAAAATAATTATACATTTAATTTAAAATGGCACCTTGAAAATTTATATCTTGAAAATCCAAATCGATTTCATCTGTTTTTTTATTGACAAATATTGCAAGTGAGAGGGCAATATCTGCTGAGAACTTCTCGGTATCTTGGATTGGTGCAGAAAGGTGCATATTGAAAGCAATTAGTTCTGTAATCTGCGCATCTATTTGCGGAGGCTGCTGTTGTGCTTGAAGCTATTGTTTCAAGGAATTTAATTGATTTAATAGGTGATTAGTAAGTGATTTGGTTTAATTGATTGATTTCTGCTACAAAGCCTACAGAGAAAAGACCCACAAAACATTTAGTTTGAGAGGTGCAGAAAGCCGTTTGATGACAGAGAAGATGCACCATCACCATCAGGCAAATTTTGCTCATTTTCTTTTACCAGATTGGGGTCAGAAAGTTGGTAATGTTATATGTTTAACTTAACTAATTAGTATGTTTTAAATTAATTTTACTAATTAATATTAGTATTAAAAGTTTTCTTAGCAAAAATTTACCTGGCAAGCATGTTGTTAAATTGCATGATTTCATGCAGCTTTGGGCTATTCTTGCATTCGCGCATAAATCTTGGGATACTCTCACAATGTAGCAAATTTCACTAGTATCTGGGCATTGGCCAAGAGCTCCTGGCTGATCACATAGGCCACAAGTTTTCGGGCATCGTCGAAGAACTATTTGATATAAACTTGGATGTGTTATAAAATCCAGTTTCTCACAAATAGGTTCAGCAGCGGGGTCTAAAGTACCAATTTCTAAGTAGAAAACTTTCGCAGGCTTTGAATATAAACGGTTGAAGGTTTTCTTCTTAGAAAAATGAAATAAAACTCAATTTAATTTTGATAATTCTATAAATGGCTCCGCAAAATAAAATTCGGTTGAAAATTTCCCAAAATCGCAGTTTACATTTTCTGCTACCTTTAAAAAAACTCGCCAAAAGGCTGGCGAAATTGAAGAGAAATTCTTTGGTTCGTTTTTTTTGCTTTCGCTTTTTCAAGAACATTGAAATATTCTAATGAATCATAAAATAAATTCTCAAAATTTAGGAATCGATTGCCAAAACTGAATTTACTGAAATTTGCTATAAAAAATTGGAAATTTTGTACTGGAAGGTTATTCAAGTACTTTGGCCACTAATTTCCATCCAATCTCACTTATGCAATTCGTAAATGATTTTTTTAACGATTAAGAGATTGTTCTGCTAAGGTCGGTTGGATTATTAATGAATCTATTAAAGTGACAGCAAAGCTATGTGAAAATGCGACAATTCGCGGTTCAGAATGCAAATCTTTGCCGGCAATTTCAGTACACATTGCAGTTTTAAGGATTATTTCATGTCGAATTAAATTTTTTTGAAAAAACTCGCACTGTTTCAAAATTTCCATAGAATTATGATGAACAGTCGCTAATGAGAAGAAAATTTATAAAATTAATTTAAGCGATTTAAATTAAAATCTTCAAAATATTTGAACTTGAAAAAACTATATAAAAGTAATAAATTATTAAGAAATTTTTCTCACGAAATTTTCCTATTAAAAATTTCCTCTTAAAATTAAAATTAAAATTTTCTTATTTCCTATTTTCCTATTGAATTTTTCGGTTCGAAAAAAATTGCAGGCAAAAAATTAGAAAATTGCAGCGAAATTTATTCTAAAAGCTTTAAGCTGAGTAAATTATTATCACGAAATTTTCAGCAAATTGCTATCAATTCGGTCAGAAGTTTGTCCGCAAAAAAAATTTCAAAAATTGGATTGGGTGTCTCTTCTCAGACCAATGTTTATGATTTTTTTTATAGTAGTTGTTGCACATCATGTGAGAAGAAATGGTGTTCATAGAAGTTGCTAATGCATGAAAGTGGAATTTCCATGACAATATTTTCAAGATTTTGGTTCAGCAATATTTGCGAATATAGATAATTTAAGCATAAAGCGAAGTTATTTCTTAGTTCAACTATGATTTCCAGTATTCCGATCTAATTGTCGAAATATAAGGATGTTCTGCAGAATGGCGTAATACATCGTCTGAGAAACCGACTCAGTCACAAGAATATTTTTCTTTCACTTTTTAATTTATTTTATAAACTCTGCCTTGATAATTTCGATTTATCTTCTGGGCACGACGAAAGCAGTTATTAAAGAATTCGGGTAGCTGCAGCTGACTGATCTGTATCGTTATCACTAAGTGGTGAATAGGTCAAACAAATCACAAAAGGCGTCTCGCGTGAAATGTTAGCTCGATGGTACATGTGTTGCGGGTACATGTGATGGTACATGATGGTACATGGTATATATGCATGGATCTGATTCGACACAAAACTTTAAGTTTTCGAACTAACCCACGCAGCGGACAAATGTCAACTGGCTATTTGATGTGAGGATAGTTGCCGATAGTTGCGTGGAACATTGGAAGGATATTGCGAACTTCGTGATCCACACTCTACCATCAAGTAAACATCGTTTGCCTGTCGAAAATCCCATTTCCTAATTTTGAATGCAGAGCAATGATTATATCTAATTCGAATAAGAGCTGCCGATTGTAGTGTTTCGGATAAATTAGATAAAAATGGAGTGGCAAATGGTTCCGAAAGCGCACGGTCACCTCTAATCTTGTGGAAGTCTTTTAATGACTGGTTGGTTCTCTTTGAAGACGTGTAAAATTTCGCGTTCAATCATTATGCTTACGAATACATGCGTAATTTAGATAAAAATCGATTTTATGCTGAATTCGCTTACCATTTCTTTCGCAAAATTGTGATACCGGAAGATTAGAATATGCATGTGCTACATGAAAATCCATTCTTTTTTCACGTAGTCGGTAAGTATGGCATGGCATCGGGGTGTGGTATACTAATGGATACAATCTCCACTATGCATCTTTAAAGATCTTTATGCCGCCAGTAGATGCTTTCAGCTTTATAGAAAGCATCTAGTAACGTGGAACCCGCCAGACAACACTCGAATTATAGCTTGATTATATTTTAATCAATCACCAATGGAAGATTTCTATAGGATAGCGGCGTATATCATGGACAAGATAAATCTTCGTGGGTTGGACTATATTATGATTGAAGCCAAGATTCAAAATTGACAACGCAGAAAACATAGCGCTCTCAGGAATCTTTTGACTTCTCAAGTTAGAAGATTCAATAGCATTTAGCATATTTCGAGCTGTGGTGCGGAAATACTTGGATGGTTCAACTATATACCACTGGAATTGGCATGAAGCAGACCGTAGTCCTAGTTGAATGCTACCAATCGGGAGACGACAAGCTAAGCCTCAGATGAAACGATTCTGCCAGAATTCGCATGTCAGGAGATGCTCTATAGAATCGCAAAGGTCGCTGCGAAACTTGACGCATGACACGAATAATATGGCTTTGGACATGGGGTCAGTACGGGGAATCATAGAAAACTATTCCGACTAAGGCAATTGAGGCTTGAGAAATGGTCAGTAAAGTGATCTGAGATAAGGAGATGTTTGGGAATCATTTTAAAACCATCGATGGCTATATCATCCGATTTTTTTAAATCTAAGCCACAATCCATTCACCATCTCACGCATGACTGAACGTAAATTCTTCATTTTTCTCTAGAAAGGCATCTCGTGGTACCAAAGCCGAAATAAATAAATCAAAATGAACTTTTTTTAGTGGAATATTCAGAAAGAAATATACGGAATTTGAACGCAATTCAAACATTTAAAAAATCTTTTTCCAAAAATCTTTTAAAAAATTATTCGAGAATCTGTTTAAATTCATTTTTTACTTTATTTTCTTCATGCATTTTCATTTTTTTCTAAGAACTTTGAAAATGAATCACGAAATTTATTCTCGATTCAAATATTTAAATATCACTCATCACTCATTTATAGTATTACCATGGAGTATCAGAGCGTCGTCTTCGCTCACCACAAGAACTGAAGCATATTTCGTTACTTGCTGAACCGTGTGATGGTCTGACCAAGACATGGACAAACAGGGAAGATTTTGAACGTATAGGCGATCAAGCGATGTATGTACAATGGATGACGATGGTAAAAAGAATAACACCTATTACTATCAGCAATAGCACCAAACCGCTTGGAAGCGTTTTACCCTTGTAGCCGTTGGAACCAGCCTAACCAGTAAGGGTGAGAGCTGTTAGAAGAAGTCTAAGTGCGAAAAAAGGAATGATTACTATTACTACCTGCGGTGCCATCAGATCAAGCACCTTAGAAACTCTTATTTTGTACCAAGCAAATCCAGCCTCACTTGCTAGTGGGAGTCTTGGAAGGACGAATTATTCTATATAGTCTATTAGATCTAATACTTAGATTAGAATGAATTCTAAAATAAATGGTTTTTCACATGCGCATGAAAGAAACCAATTATATAGAAAACCAAACAAAGCATAAATCTATATTAATAGAAGGAAAGCAAAAAAGTATGAAGCTATACCGGATTTGTAATTAAAATGCCATAAAAACTATACTACTAATTATAAAGAATTACAACAGATGCATCCACACTCGATGATTTTCGCAAATAAATCGCTTTAAATTAAAAAAAAAAACTTTCCAAAAATCTCTCGAATATTTTTATTGGACAAGAGAAAAGGCAGTGTAAATGAAGAGAAAAATTTTTCACCGGTGAACTCATTAAATCACCTATTTAAATATCAATGTCGTCTTTTAGCAAGGTCCGTTGTAAACCAGATATTCGATATGGTACTGAAATTTACAAATTTACAAATATTCGATATGAAATTTACAAAAGTACAAATAGTTAAATAACAGTACAAATATAGTACAAAACTCATAATAGATAAATAGTATTAAATCGAGAAAGAATGGTATCCACTAAAAAACAAACAGAAAATCGTTAAAAAAATTACCTAAATTATTTCTTGTAGCTCTGCACGATTGAGAAATATTCTGCAACGAATTTATTTATAAATAGATTTAAGGCCATTATTATCATTCTCAATAAGTGCTTTGATCTATATTTACAGTTCCAAAAAGGAATAAAAATAATACAAATAATAAAATAATAAAAAGAATGAATAAATAAACACTGAAATTAAACAATAAATTTCAAAAAAATTTTCACTCAGATAATTCAAAGCCTTTTTACTTCAATTCCGGAAATTGTGCTTGATTGCGAAAATTCGTTTACATTTTGTTCATGTTGAGTTTTTTGAACTGAACCTACTGATTTACGTGGGATTCCGCTGAAAAAAATAAAAAATTTTTCTGAGAAAAAAAGATGTTCAATGCAAAAAATATTATGGCTCCATTTTCTCGCACGAAAAAATAGATGATAAAAAAAATGAAAAGTTTATCGCCAATTGAAAAAGAAACAAATGCTTGCACTCTTCGGAAAGGATAACTGAAAAAATCGAGATATCGCTTAAAAAGCAGTAGCAAAATTTAAAATTCGACAATTATACCTTACTTTGCCTCCTCTACTGGCAAAAAATCGACTCCGAGCAGAAATGTTGTCAGTTGTGGAAGATCGATTGAAATATTCCAGTCCTTTACAATACATATCATTCAAATATATAATCATTTAAATATATATTTAAATAAATAAATGATTTAGAAATATAAAGCAATGAAAGAAATATGAAAAACTTGAATAAATTTTAATTTCTTGCAAATTTGAGAATTTGATCACTTTTAGCCAAAAATATAGATTAAAGCATTAAAATCTGCTTTGAATTATAAGGAACTGCCAAAATACATAATTTTCTGCTCAACTATTTGCAAATTCTATAAAAGCGAAAAACAAAAAACGAAAAAACGACTGAAAGTAAACTGTCAGTGAGAAAAAAATATTGAAAATAAAGTAAGATGAAAATTAAAGAAAAATGCAACATATAACAAGTAACGGATTGCAACTAACCTGATTTCAAAAGATCATTGCACTTCCACAAATATACCGCACCGTTAGAGCGCTTTTTTTCCCGAACACTTATAGGAGTCGTATTTTTCAAGGGTGTTAATGCATTCTCTGTATTGCCAGAACATTTTTCATCAAAACTGGATGTTGCATTGCCACATTGCTGAAATTCTCAAAATGAAACTACTGCCGATTCCAAACAATTTTATGGCAAAAAACCACATAATAAAGCATTAAAAATTTTAAATTTTGAATTTTTAAATTTTACTTATCATTTTAGCGAAACAGCCAATGTTGACCTTATATCATTTTAGATAAAACAGCACTACTAAACACTTCAAATGATTGCAAAACTCCCATCATTATAAATAAAAATAAGGAAAAAACGCAGCATTTCTCAACAATCGGCGAATATATTTGGAAGATCCCATAGTAGAATCGTTGAAATAGAATTTCATTAAATTTCTATGACTGATATTGATTGCGTGAAAAATGGAATTTTGCAAACTGAATAAAAGATAATAAAAGATCTATGAAATTGGCTGAAGAACGTTAAACTAAAAATCCAACAGAAACTTCGAATTCTGCTTAATATAATCATTTTAATATAATTATTTTTACCATTTTTACGTTTTCTGATGTGTCCATAGGCATGTAAATATATGATAGGAAATATATGTACATCTGCTATGTCCCTTCCAAGGCTGGATGAGAGATTTCTTATAAAAACAAAAATAGAGCGAAGATCCTGAGGGACCTCTCCATCAAAACAGAAAATAAATACTGGCCAATCAACCAAATATCGTGGTAATAGACAGAATAAGAAATCATCACTTGTGACAATATCAAGCAATATTAAGTTATAGCAATATTAAGTGAGAGGAACTTTAGAAAGAAAGAACATGAGAGATTAGAAATAAACCAAGGGTTAAAAAAGAACTAGTGAAGATGTGGAAAATGATCAAGGTAACTCCAGTTATAACTGGCTGAAACTATAATTCTTAGAAAAACAGCTTCAGCAGATTCCAGGAACAGTACCGGAGATCTATACTCAGAAGACCGCATTAGGAATATTAGGAATAATTAAGAGCAGAATCTTCAATCTCTCAGCCATCTGGTAGAGGACACGATGTTGAGGACGAACTTTACCACGTACAAAGCATGAAAAATAGATCTTTTTTTCGCAATATCTTGAGCAATATTTCTCAATTTTAATTGGCATAAAAGAAACAAACCGGAAATAATGAAGAAGAAATATCGGGATCACTCGCATTTTCGCAAAGTAAAGAAGTGGTGGTCGAATAGGTTAAATTTACCCCATTTACTCCTACACCCGTATTAGTTGATTTCATTGCATTAATGATAGGTCCTCTCGGGATCGAAAAATGAAACATTTAAAAAACTTACTTAAATTTATATAAAAAATTAAATCAAAAATTAAAAATCAAAAAACAATTTCTAATATAAAAAAATACTTCCAAAAATATTGAAATAAATATCGGATTTATCAAGTTCTGAATGAATTACATGACAATGGATTTAATAATTATGAATATTTTTGACTAAAATGTATATCTAAAATCCTGCGAAGTTAATTTTCGCAATAAATTTATAATGATCAATAATTACGATTTCCTACTTGGTAGCCTTTCAATAATCTTTTAAGCAAAATATTAATATTAATGGAACATAATGAAGAATATTTCTTTAATAATAATAATAGATATTCACCTTTGCTTTTTCATTAAGATATTCTTTTGCAGCGTCGCTGTTATTTTCAAGAATTCTTTTTCTGCACCGCCGTCTCCATATTGACCATTCAGGAATGTTTTCAGGAAGAATAAACTTATCATCGGATGGGTCTGCACTTAATTCATTCCCTAGAGCCAATCTAGAAAAACTGAAAATGTCAAAAACCAAACTATGAAGTATTTTTAATAGCTATTATAGAATATGCAATTTTGTGAGGCTTGATATATTTTTCCGAAAAGAAAGTATTCAAATAAACTAATTCTCCAATTTAAATCAAAGAATAAAAACCTTAAAGCTTCATCTGGTGGTAGCTCTGAACCGGCATACGAGAAATTAGGCACTATTTCTTGGTCACTATTAGCGGCAAACTAAAATTGCAATAATTATGAAAAAAGCTCGATAGAAAGGATAGAAAGAATTTTTAATCAAAATATTGTTTTTTGTTATTTTCCTATTTTTCTCATTTTATTGTGTTTTTTTATTATCCTATTCCTATCTTGTCTTATTATTATTATATTATTATTTTATTATCTTATGTCATTTTCTAATTATACAATAAAATTTTCTCTTAATCTCTTTTACATAAATTAAAAAAATTGCGAAATATTAATAAATAACATCTTCGTCGTCCGATTTTGCATCGCAACTAAGCACAAATGGATAATCAGTGAGAGGTCGTTGCTTTCTTTCAATAGGATCGAAAACGATTTGGTAAAGAAAGGTATTTTCAGCTTTTATAAAATCTTTTATGAATTCCTTTTTTATTTTTAACCTATTCATATTCAAATAACGAGGAATACGCGGCAAAATCTGCAAAATTTTTTAAAATACTCTGATTTTGAGCACTGTTCTGATTAAATCAAGAAAGAATCAACTTATAAACTATTTCATATAAATAATGAACCAACAAAGAAAAAAGAAAACCTGTGCCAGATCAGATCCGGAAACTTTTGAAAAAAATGTAGTCGCTTTATTGATGCCGATTCCAGGTAAACCCGCCTAAATTATTTAAAATTATCATTATAAACAATTTCCAAACAGTGTGAATAAACATGCAATACATTGTTTTCATTTCAGATCTTCCTTCTTTAAAACTCGACACATATGAATTTAAGGATTGGCAATCTCCGGAAAGCTAAAAACTCATTTTGAATAATTTACTTTCAAAATAAATTTTTATTTCGATACAACAGTAAATTTTAATCATCCCCACTACTTTTATAACATTATTTACTCATTTTATTTCCTATGGTTTATTCACTCCATATCTTCTAACAACGCATGGATCAATCAATAAATATTAATAAATATTCATCAGCAAAATGTGATATATATGATTTTAATTCAAGCGTCAATTTGTTAATAATAACATGAATAAAGTAAGCATGGAAAATTTTTCTATTATAAGAATTGACTAAAATGGAAAGAGAACCTGAAGATAATCGCATCCTGACAGAATACAAATTCTTCTGAATTTATCAAAACTGAAATCTTGCGCCATAGTTTTGCCAAAGCATTTCGACAAATTTTTACGTTCATAAATTATACATGTACCATCGAATTTTAGTTTGAATATAATCTTGCAAAAAACATGAGTTATTAGAATCAAATGAATTAAATTTCTTCCTCTTTGTGACATGAGAAATATCTCGAAATATGAATTAATGGATTCAAAGCGCCATTGAAGATAGGTTTAAGGTTTTCCCCTCTGATCATTCCTTTTATAAAGAAATTTTAACCAAACATATTTTATCAAAAACAAAGCTTAAATAAATCTATATACCAATATATAATAAATTTTATTTCCTTTATCAAACTCTGGCAACATATTGCAATTTTAAGTAAGCCAGTTTCCGTATAAGGAAGTTCGCTTAAGACCAGTTTCTCATAAAGTTCAGAGAAAACCTTAATCTCTCAACCATATAACCAATATAGCAGTCATCAGTATCGCTAAGGTCCTTTTCGTATAATTCATTAAAATATAATTTGTATAATTTTCTTAAATCGGAGTTGACATATTTTATTTATTTAATAAATAATAATTGGTAGTTGATCAAAATTAAATAATCCAACCAATGGTCTTCGAAAGTATTATGATATTTTGAAAAATATAAGAAAAAATTTAACAAAAAACATAAAGAAGTTTCTGAATTATAAAGCCTGCAAACAAGGCTGTAAAACAGTTAAAGGAGATTAATTGATTAAAAAAATTAAATGATATAAAAAAAACGATTAAAATGGCATCTATGAAAAATAAATTAAAAGAATGAGAACCATAATAAAAACCTTTTCACAACCAAATGCGATTAGGTCAGAATCTTCAGTTATAAGTACATTGGCTAAGCCAATTTTATTAAGATAAGCAAGCTGAGCATCGGATTCATATGGTGCAACTAATATATCAACCATCTCGAAATTTTGGAAGGCCTTGAAATTATACAAGATTAACATATTACATAATACTGTACCTATAAACTATAATAAATAAACGATGTGGCCGTTTAACAGGCAATCGAACAGGCAAAGAGGCAATCGAACTTTCATACTGAATTCCGGATCCATGGTGACCACCCGGCAAAAATAGGTAGTCAAGCGATCGCCTAACCAGAAATGATGAGTTATTCGCAACTTGCCAAATATATATATAAATATTTATGACTTAAATACAATATAAAGAATAATAAAAATTTTCTTCAACTGTTTGCTATCGTGACTGAATCTGCCACTGCCATCATCACAAATAAGAAAAGACAACCTTGTTGAGTAATACTCGATTATGTTACCCTATACCCCGCATACCCTACTCTAAAATAATTAATCAAAATAAATAACAAACTTCTATAGTGTTATCGATTATGTCCCTCGTTAAAGATGCACTTTTCTTGAGGCAATCATATGCTTCGTTAACTTTACCTTCGCTTAACAATTGCTTCCCTTTGTTCCGATGATGATCACGTTTTTCACGTCGAGAATCATTCGTATTCTAAAATGAAAAAAGGCAATTTCTAAATATTCTTTAAATTCGCGACATTCAAAAGAAATTTGAAGAAAATATCAAATATAATTGTTTTATATAATTATGTACATTTCATTTACATTTCTATGGACATATTTATATTCAAAAATTATATTTGACAAAATAAAACAAACTCTTTTCGCTGGAAGAGGTTGACCATCAAAGACAAGAATTACATGGCAACCATAATCTGTGAGCATTTTAATAAATCGCGTAACATAACGGATATAACTACAACACTTAATTTATTAAAATAGTTACTTCAAGAACCATAAAGGAAAAGCAATCCTCCCAATATAATAAACTATCCAGTGTAAGAGAGTTGCATGTTTTACTGAAGGATATATTATGGATTTAATTTTTGCCAGAGTAAAATGAAAAAACTGAAATCGGATATCCCTAAATGCTTTTAAGGGGAAATTTGTCGAAAATAAAAAATATTTCATTTTGGCTGTCAAAAATGCCTGCAAAACCAGAAGCGCTTCATTTAGCCTTTCTAAATTATTTAAAATTAAAAATTTTAATTAAAGATTTACAAATCTGTTTGATAACCAAGGGTGACTTCACTCGCGCATCCAACAAGTGCCCTATGAAGGAAACAACTGATGTCAACAGCAATCGACTGAGCACGAAATTCCGCGATATTTCCCTGAATAATAAATTCGCCTTTAAACGACTTACGATTCTAACTGCACAAAAATTCTTTAATACAAAAAAATGCCTAAAATTAGAAATTCTGCGAAAAATTCTGCTAAAATTAATTATTTCATTGAATATTATTAGAAAAAATTTTTGAAAAACTAAAACTATGCAAAAGAAATAAAAAAACCAACTTGTCGACAAGCTTTCTTTACGAATGGTAACAAATTTTGAATTCCCATTTCGCAATAAAAGTCGAAGGATTTTTCGCACTTTCTCAACAATTATAAAAATGAAATTTAATAGAAAATTTACAAAAATTTTTTCTAAAACAAATTTTATATCATCGAAAAATTTAATAAAAAAATAAATTATTTATAATAACGAAGAGAAATGAAGTGATATTCGGCAAAATCAATTCAAATATCGAAATATTTCATCGCTTATCGCTTAGCCTTATTTATCGCTCCACCGCATTGCAACTGCTACCCCTGTCGTCACATTTTTCCATAATAGAATTTATACTACATTCGTCATTTTCAAAAATTGTTTTAAATTTGCCGCGCTTTGAAGGAATGAGAAAATTCGCCCACAGCGGCAAAATTCGTCCTCGTCAATAAAAGATTGTTCGACTCTAAACAGAGAATCATTCGGATCGGTGAGGTTCATGGTAGTTTGGTGGGATTTTTGAAGCAGAAATTTCAGAGTTTCCATAAAATCGTGGAGGAAGCAAAGGAAAATATGTGTTCGCGCCGCACCCAAGGTGCACTTGCAACAATGGTACTAAGGAATTTTACTTCCTCTCTTCTTGTTCTCAAATTGGAAAATGATATTTTATCAATTTAACTTTATAAATTTATAATTAAAGAACTTTTGCTTATCATTTTAGCGGAACGACCAATGTCGAATTTTCTGCTTATCATTTTCGATAACATAAAACATCACTAAGGAAATACTTCGAATGCTTGCAACGCTCTCACCAAAAAACAAGAAAAATAGCAAATCTCAATAGTCTGCGAATGAATTTGGAGGATAGTCGATTTGTCGAGATAGAATTTCATTAAATTCCTACGATTACTATTGACTGCGTGAAATATTAAATCAATTTTGTAGATTTGATTGTAGACGCATAAACGATCTATGAAATTAGTTGAAGAGTATTAAACTATAAATCCAATAGAAACTTCGAATTTTACTTATTTAGTTAATTCTTATGTTTTCATATATGCCCATATATTGCATACAAATCTGTTGGAATATCTGCTCGGTATATGGTTTAGATTCTCCCATGATTGGACGGAACGAGAGATTCCTCACAAAATCGTGAAAATAATAAGGCGAAAATCCTGTAGCTCTATGGCGAAACGGTTTCGCGGATACCAAATACCATTGATGCCAGCTACCCCATAAAAAGTGGAAAATTTTCAATATTTTTGCTTAACTGTTAATTGTTTAACAATGAATTAGCTGTTTTAAGATAGAGAAGAGATGTAACCTATATATTTCATATTTGTAAAGGTAAAGAATATTACAATATTAATAAGAACAACAATAAATACCATAGGAGAACCACGTGAACAGCAATAAAGAAAATTTCTTCGGAAATTATTCAATTAAATTGGAGACCGCTATATGAGAAAGATTAATGTCTAAATGTCTAAAATTTCTACTTGCTTACTAATGGTATTGGACAAGAATTTCATAAGAATTATCTTCTTACTACGAATCGTCCTCAAACCAGTAAAAAGCTTCAATGAATTTTCATGAATTCGCTAAGGCAACAGGCGAACAAATTTAAAGTGAAAGTACAAAAAATAAATAAATACGTTGACATATTATGCAACATTCAAGAAAAAACCATTAAAGAATTCAGATTCAAAGATCGTTTAGCCGAGCGAGGAGATCTTCCGTATTCTCTGATATGTACTTTTTCTGATTGTCAGGCATGGCATTCAGGGTGTTCTTCTAAAAAAGCTCAATTTAGTTTACCAGCTTTTTATAAGCTTTTTTCAGTTTAACCTTCAAAAATTCCATTTTATGTGAAATAAATTTTTACTTCAACTACAACCGCTGGTTGTCCTTTTTTTCGAATCCTGATTTGTCCAACATCTGCAGAATCAAAAGGATTCTGACCATTGCCTTTAGTCATATTCAAAGAATCATTGTTCATAACTTTTTGCCTCTGCATCGCAGCACGCCCTGAAAATCGCTTAGTTATGCAAATGTAAATATGCAAATGTACTTACCTGTGGAATTTAGAAGTATAAAATCAGAAATGGACTACAGCGCTACCAAAAGAACGAATTTAACAGACGGTTATATTTCTTTTTTTTATAGACAATAATCTATACAGAAAAGAAAAATGGCACCAACCAATCAATAAAATAACAATAATGAACTATAGAAATGGGCTTATCTTTTTCCTTGTTTAGATATAAATGAAATTAAAATCCTACCGTCAAAATCAAATCAGAGTGGCTGCTGAGAACCAAACAGCACCAGTATTTCATGATTCTATGAAGAATGGACCAAGGAAATTATAAATGGTGTCCACATATTTCCGAATCGCAATAAACACCTATCAGGTGACAAATACACCAAATACACCAGGGCCTGGACAATATAAAAATGGCCATAATTTCTCAAACTATGGGAACTGCTTGATACCATTTGTTTGACAATTGGACAAAAGTCGGCCCTGCATACATCGCAGTTTTAGCCATAGTTGTATAAAACATCAAAATGCAAAAAAATGTCGAAATCCAGGCGATAACTATCCACACTCTATACAAATAACGTTCCCATAGTTTGAATGTATATCGCTTCCCAATCAGAAAATTCTGGATGCAATAAGCATATTCATATCTGCTTGTAAACTATTGTATACGTTGATGTTTCTGATAACTACAGTAGAAATAGAACCGTCATGTTCCAGATGGCATAGCTTCAATGGTATGGAACCCTATTAATGCCCGATTGGCCTACGCTTGCTTTAAAGGAGAGCTTTGTAATCATTATCATTGTTTATGGTCTTCACAAGAATGATCTGGCTATAAGTCCAGCTTAACTAATAGTATCTCTTCCAAAAAACGATCCGAAAAGATTGAATGCGCGTTTACGATATGAAGAAACCCTACTATCTTCTACAATCAGTAAGTATGCTTGGAATTGCGCCTGTATCATGAATGGGATAACGCCTTCTCCGTAATGTTAAGAATGTTATGGACTTTTTGTCATCAATACCTATTTTCATTACTATAAAAACATCTAGCTACGTCGAGCTCACTAGACAATCAATATCTGAAACCGACTGACCATATTTTGGTCAGTCGACAATGGAATGGAAGAATTTTATATAAAATAGTCACATATCGCGAAGCACATCTCAAATTTAAATGAATAATGAGGTATGAGCAACTGTGGAACTGAAATGTTGTAATCTTGTAATACTGAAAAAAACCGAACCAATTCTTGTTCTGGGGGTATTCTTTGGAGTTCGCCTTTCCACATTGCACAGATATCCACCTTCAAGGAACTTTTCTATTTCATCTACGACACCAGTAGTCTCTTTTCCTAAATATTGTAAAATTATTATCGAATTAATTCAACAAATTACAAGTTTTATTTATCAAAATTTTAGTTATAAAAATGATAAAATTTTTAAACACATTTGTTCAGTGAAAATTATTCTCCAGACTCTCTATTAAAAATTATTGAGAGCCGTCAATGGGCTTTATAGCTTTAACAAATAAAGCGAATTGCGAAAATTTTTATATTATACATTTTTTAAGGAGAAATATCTAAATTTTCCAAGAGAAAAAAAATCTAATAAAAGCGAGATTACTTACTAAATTTCAACAAATTTCCTTAACACTTAGTTTAATAAAACGAGAGCAAATTTAATATTATCTTGAGATACTCTGAAAAAGAAAATCCCTTCTACTATGATCCTTGCAATATGAAAAAACCTGATTTAAAAGTAAACCATTTTTCAAAATTCCATTGATCTTTACTCCATGGCTCAATGGTGAGGAGGACAGATCAAGACGGGCTTGAAGTGGTCTAAGTGGAGTTCGTTTATTTCGCTGATTTTCACGCTCTTTTAGCTGTTTCGCTTGTTCGATATCAGTATAGACACGCTGAAAATTAAAAGGAAATAGACACAATATAGGTTATCAGATTAGAATAAAAGCAGTAAAAAAAAATTGCATATATTAACTTCATAATGCTCTTTGAAGGTTTTCAAATCACCGAAAAACGCTTCCATACTATATTTTCTAGCATCAAAAGCATAGTATTTGCATATTGACGTCCATTTCGAAATCATTGAATTATGCATCTGCAATAAATTTTTTTTGAGTCAAATAAACGTTATCCTCGAGCAATATTCAATGAATCAGGAAAAAAGACAAAAAGCTTCCGGACTGTAAATTATGAACCTTGTCAATAATATCATATTCCGTTTTCGATAAAACCAAAAAAGGTGTTAATTTATCGCCAAAATAATCGTTTGGCGATTGTTTTTGATAATCCTTCAAATAATTTTCCAACTGAAATTTGTTAAATTTTATTAGAAGGTCAAGTAATGCAGTTAATTGTTGAATTTAAAGTTTGTTGAATTAAAGAGGAGTCAAGAGATTAAAAACATCTCAATTGATGCTTGAAAAAATAATGGATAATGGTAAAATCTTATCATCTTGCTCTCTTCTACTGCGATGAGAAATTTCCGCCACAGAGCCAGTAACAGATGGAGATATAGATGGGCTGGAGAATTTAAATGAATTTAACTTCAACATATTCTCTAACTTCAAAAATGGAAAAGCAGCTCATCCTTTATAGGGAATAAACATGCATATATAAATAGGATAGGAAATATATAAATATATTTCCTATAAATAGGAAATATGGGAGAAATTTCAATAGTTTAATTTAAATAGTTTCTTTTTGTAATGAAACTAAAATTTTTATAGCTGAAAAACTGAAAGAGAGAAAAAACAAAATCTTAACATAAATTACATTTTCTAATTGAAAGTTTCATTTTTCTGAAATTATTTCTCAAGTATTTGAAATTTTTATTAAAATGTAAAAAAAATTACTTTAACAACAGAATTGTTCAAGGATTTAATACTACTTGAAATTTCATCAGCATTTGTTCGCGACGCCTTTGTTATATGTATAAAATCATCCAAAACAAATCGTACATACTTTCCCTCCATATAATCACTCAGTGAATTAATTAAATAGTGAAGGAGTGTTTCAGTGTTATCAACATCTTTCGTGTCGGTCAACTGAAATACAGTGTTTCAAGTTATAAAAGAGTAAAGTACAAATCGCTTTGACTTCAGTTAACAGCAATAATTAATAAGATGATAATGGGAAAAAAGCGATAGAAAGATATTGCCTAACTGTGGTTACATTATCTGCAATTTAAACTTAATAATTTAATAATTTAAAGAATAGAATTATAAAATGAAAATGGATATGAAAATGGCAATCTAAAACAGGTATAATATTCTTCATTTCACTTACTTTAGTCAATACACTCATCTCAAAAGCGAATGCGTCTTTATGTGTTTTAGATGAGCTACCCATATAGTTCCCTACAAATAGAACCATTTCAAGAAATAATTTGAATCCAGTCGAATTTTGAATCTCATCGCAAGCCTCGATTACCGCTGAGATACTCTTTAAATAAAAAAAATGAAGCATTTAAATTGCTTAAGTATTAAAACCAGCTTATTGGTATTATTAAAAATGAGGAACTGACAAAACATTAATAATATTTTCGCTAAAAAAAATATCAAAAATTATTCAAAATTATTTGTTTTGAAGGGGTGCATTTTTCTGATAGATTTTCAAAAAAAGGCATGAAGGATACGAAAATAAAGAAAATTAATTGATAAATTATGAAATTTAGAGGAATGGATTAAAAATTAGAACGAACTGATTTAATATCATTGATTACTTCACTGAATTTGAACATGAATATCATTAAATCAAGTCTAACAGATAAAGAGTTGATTGACGCCAGCGTCGCAACAAACTAAAAAGCAATAAATGTTTCAGTTAAAATAGATCTTAAAAAAAATGGGCAAAAAAGGATCATTAAATAAAAATCAGAAAAAAAATTCCGGGAATAATTAACTTAATTTAACGTAAATGATTCAATAAATGGATAACCTTTTCTCCTTCAGGCATATCATCAAACTTTGTTGCAGATATTTCATTCAATTTTTTAAGCACATCCTGCGAAGGTAGCGCATTTCGCAATTGCTGCATATCATTAGCACTAAGGATACTATCATCGACTTCAAGCAAGCATTTTCTCCATTGTTTAGGGTGCAATTTGCTTGATCCTTGAAGTATGGCTGAAATATCAAAAGATAATATTCTAGAACTAAATTAGTCCAAAACTCACAAATTCTTGATCTTCATGGGAACAAAATCACGGACAAAATAAATGTAAAGGAGAACAAAGTGCATGGCTTTAAAAATAATAAGGAACAGAGATACCTAATGCCTGTAAAATTTTTTCATCGTTTATAACGACAGGAATCTTTGTTTTCTTTTTTGATAGAGTATTTTTGCCATTCTCAAAATGCAATGAAGATGACGCATCAAACTGGCGACTAAAATTTTTAATGAGATAATAAATGTAAAATTTCGAGGTACCTTTCAAAAATTCGCGAATTCCATAAAATAGTTTAATCATTGAAAAATTTTTTTAATAATTTTTGGAACTAAATTCTTTCTGCACTTTTAAATAAAAAGCGTGAAAATAAACGAATATTTACAACTGAATTTTAATTTGATGCATAAACTACTAAGTATTAAAAAATTTAAGTATCAAAATTATTAAAAAATAACTACCTTTTAAAATAAATATTTACTCAGTATCAACTGCCATCATATGGGCAATGACCTTATTCTAACGGGGAAAAGCTAAACGTACTTCTTAAAATGGTGCAAAAAGCCTTAAATGTTTTCGGTTGCAAGAAAATCATAAGATGCTAATAGTGCTACAAGAGGAGGTATTTCAGATAAAATGAATATCCAACAATAAATATATCTGACCAAATCTTTGATGAAAGAATTTTAAAAAAATACTTTGAAGAAGCGAATTTCGTTGTCAAAGTTGCCAGAAAAGTTGCGGTAGCGAATTTATCTTCGCAAGTTTGTGCCCAAAATGAATCTTTCGATATCTTGTTTGGTTTAATCTAAATCGAGGCAATCCAAATCATTTTATTGTGACTTTTCTAACCTAACGAAATCTAATAAAATTTTATGACGCATCCACTAAAAGGGTTTTCAAATTGCATTAAATTGTATGAATGAAAAGAAAGCTTTTCATCAATGAAGATATCTAAGTTATTTTCCTTGTTCTGAATGATATTATAAAAATGAGGAATTCAACGAGAAAAATTAAGATGAAATAGATTGGCAATTACAATGAGTTATACTTACAACTGCTGACGACCAGGCAATTTTTTTCAATGGGGTACTGATTTGATATTTAGTTTTTTTTTGCAGATATTCAGGCAACTCTGGGGATACAAGAGGGCCTGCAAGATTAGATATAAGTAGTGTAGCCTTACTGAAAGAAGAATCGGAATGAAAGATGTTATCTATCAAAAAGCGATTTGAAGAATAGAAATAACTGCAGTTTGAGCGATTAAAATTTAACGATTCTATTATTTTTTTTGAAAAAAACAGCCACATTTCACATAATGAATAAAATTTACGAAAGATAAGAAATATACCTCTTGATTTTGATGGAGGAGGAGGTGGTGGTGGTGGCGGTGGTGGGGGCGCACGCACATTATTACAAGGGATTGGCACAGGAGATGGGGGAGGAGGCGGAGGAGGAGGTGGAGGAATTGAAGCGGCAGTGGGGGGTACAGAAGTACGAGGACCACAAACAGCAGAAGCTGAGGAACGTAGGTTTGATAGGAGAAGTAGACCGTCACTCTTATCACTTGAAAAAATTTCTGGAGGAGGAAGCTGACATTTTGTAGGCTCAGGAATCGGTTGTTGTGGATCTTCAATCTAAATTTTTTTATGAAATAATGATAATATCAAATTACAACTTAAAGAGATACTAAAGAAATAAGTATTTTTATCGATAGCAGATAGTTGAACTTTTCGAAACTCCCTAACTAAGCCATATAATTCTGTCATCAATTCCCATCAATTATAACTGCAGCTACACCAAAAACGCTTCCTGAGTTTTGCAAAGGTTTTAAGGGAAAAAAGATCACTTTAAGGAATTTTTATTATATTTGCAAGGATTAAAATGATAAAAAAAGTTAATGATGACATTATTAACAATCATCGATTTATGTCAAAATAGCATATAAAATGGATTAGATTTTTGGAGGTAACAAAAAGTAACAAGGAAAAGATTTGCAAGAAATATTAAAGGAATGATTTTTAGGAAGCATTAGTAAAATAACACATCGGCAATGGTCATGAAAACATAAAAATATAGAGATCTGAAAAAGTTTAAATAATGAAAGGGGGCCAAAAGAAGTATTATTGTAGAGTCCAAGCAAAAAAATATGTGGGATGCCAAAAAAGACTAAGATGAAGACTAAGATGACTTTGCGAAGATGGAGGGAAACAACAGCTCCTGAGAAAAGTGAATATGAACATGTCTAGAAAAAAATTAAGATAGTATGATTACCTTTCTATAACTAAAGGAAAATCATGCGACGAGATTTGATGGAGAGTTGAGAGAGCGATCTCAAAAATTACCAAAATGCAAAATATGTTCTGAATTCTTAGGAAGAATAGTGCAATATGAAGGATAAGGGAATATACAAAAGTTATAAAATAATTGATATAAAATAAAATAAAAAGACATAAATTGACGAGATTTTAAAAAATAGGGTTTTGAGAAGATAATTAGGAGAGCATTCAAAAAGGATTGGGGATAGTTTTCACGAAATGATTGGTTTTTGAGAATGCAGATTGGTTTTTTTATAATCTTATATAAATTGACATAGCAAATTATTTCCTTCTAGTTGCGAAATTCTATGATCAATAACCACTAACATGTTTGCGTAACCCTTTGGCCTCATCGGCAAACTCTTGCATTTTTGAATAATATTGGCTGAGTTTAGCCACTGCTTCATTTTTTGCTTCTGTAGCCAATTCAACCCGTTTATCCTTCACTAGATCATTACTGTTCAAGGCATCTGCAATTTTTTATTGCTTATATAAAATACAAAAACTGAAAGACTAACTAATTGAACACTCATATTTTGCTGAAAAATTTTAAAAACCACTGTTTGCACTCAAGCATTGAATATGTAATAAATAAATAATTTTTAAAATTAGACCGAAGAATTGGAAGATATCTTGAGTAAATTCAAATCTTCCTCGGAAATCTGGGTCGACACAAGCTTTTGGTAAAACGATTTCAGAAATGCAATTTTCAATTAAACGAAAATAATTGTTCCTGAAAAAAAAAAGGTAAGAAACAAATAAAAGAATTTAATGAAACCTTCATCTCAATATTTTAATATTTACAAAAATACCTAAATGAAAAAAAAAACTATGCATGAGACCCAGCACTTATTAATTTTTAAATTTTATGGACTATTTATCTAAAATTACCTGATATTAATATCATCAGTGATAAGCATCAAATGTTGAAATATACTCAAAAGTGAATTTTCTGCAGGAGTATTTTTAACTGATGCCAAAAGTAGTGAGAAGCAACCATCAATCCCATCATATTCACCTTTACTGAAAGGATATATATACGCACTTTATAATAATATTTTTGAAATTAACTAAATTATTAACCAATATTTAGACCTGAAAAAGGTTTAAAGGGAACTATGATCTATTTTCTTTGAAGACTCACCACAGCTGGTTAAGCTCGGTCCATTAGCTTGTCGCGTTAGACAAATATGCAGAGAATAGAAATATAAAAGCAATGTATCGATTTTGAAAGACGGTTTGCTCCTATTGGGAATAGAACCTCAGATCACGCTCCGAGTTCAATCCCAACGAGCCATTCCACTTTTTCATTTCCGCCATCAGGCGACACTATCGCATGACAAAAGGTTGTGCGCATATGTTTGTATAGTTAGAGTGAAGAATTGGATTCGAATCCAAGCCTGGATTTCTTAGTGACAATTATCTTGTCAATGTGCCATCAAAGCACCACTTTCTTTTCAGAGCACTCACCACTACAACTTATATTTCATAAAAAGCTATTATGTGCACCAGGATAAAATTCGGTACCACAGTTATTTGGACAATTTTTTGAGATAAATTAGTTTAGAAATGAAGAGAATTTACATTTGCTCGAAACGGCTAACAAGTTCAGAAAAATCTGCTTCTTTATTACGACAGAATGAATCATATTGAATCTGTACTGAAGTAACAGTACAATTTTCGAGAAACTGCAAATTAATCAATTATATCAAGTTTGATAATATATTATCAAATTATTTAAATATATTCGATTAAATAGCTGTGAACGGTTGAATGAATACTAAAGTTTCCTCAAAATTTACCTCGATGCAATCATATAAGCCAGAGCGCATAAATTCACTTCTCCAGTGCATTCGCATTTGCCATGCTTGTTCTGCCATTGCTTTTCCATCGTCGGTATTTGTGTTTGTATCTTCCGGTTCTCGCACGTCAAGTATTATATTTACTAACATTAATGCTTTTTTCTGCAAAAAAGACAATGTTGCAGTTCATTATTTATTATTTATTATAATATAATATTTATATTAGCGAATATATATAAAAAATATATATAATATATTATTTCATTTATAATTCGCTAATATAATTTAAGAAAGGTTAAGTAATATTACCGAAATTCATTTAAAAAAATTTAAAAGAAAACATGCCACAACATCAAGGCGATTGGTTTTCTTTATACAGTCAACTATGCAACGAAATCTTTCACATTTCCGACGTTTTCCTTCCTCTGTAAGAGCTCGCAACAAAACTTCTCGACTAAATTAATTTAAAAAACTTTAAAAAAAACTTGAGTTTCATTTCTAAAAATATTTCTTTTAAATTATTATACGATTTGATCCATCTGAATAATTACAAAAAAAATTAGTACAAACCCTTTCAATTCAAACTGATCGTCATTGATAAATGCAACTACTGCAAGTAAACTAAGTATTTCAAATCTAAGAGAATCCCATGAATCCGTTGACGATTTACCCATAGTTACTGAAAGTGCTCCAACAAGCCTTGAAAACATTTTTGAATCACTTTTAAAGCATAGGTGCATTCCTGGCTAAAAACATATATAAAATCTACTATGGATAATGCAATATGTTATTTAAAAATTGATAAATTATGAATGAATATACCAAAAAAACTGAATTAGATCAAAAATTTGAAAAAAACTAATTGAAGAACTAACCCAGGTGTTGACAATTGATTTAACACATTTAATATTATCAAGAAGAATAGCAATGATTTCCTCTTCATGATCGGGATTCTCTGGATTTCTCAAAGTATTGATAAGATTACGCATTATTTGTAATAAATAATGAATGCCTCCTTGATTTCCAAACTAAATATGAAAAATTATGAAAAAAATGGAAATAAATTTTTTGAGAAAAAAATCCTTATGATTTAACTTAATGCAAATAAAGTAAAAAAAATAAAATTATTGTAAAATTATAAAAAAGAATTACTCCATGAAAATATATTCCACAAAAGAATAAGTATAAAGAATAATTTTTAAAAGCAAAAATTCACAAAATAATAATAGTAACTCAATGAAGAAGTCAAATAATTTAATGGATGAAGAAGCAAAAACCTGCGCAATCCAACCGACTTTTTGAATGCTCAGTTGTAATTTCAATTCCTTCATTAAATTTCTTAGCGTAAGACGTTGATCATCAGTCGACTGTAGAACTCGATCCATTTGTTGTACAAAATCAGCACATGACTATAAAATAAAACGTGAAACATACGAAATATAATTGTAAATTTGTGGAAATGCACCTTTGATGCATCGTTTATTGAAAGATTTAGTCGCTGAGATTGCAAAACCATTTTTCGCTTTTTTTGTATATTTGAATCAGCTAAAAGACTTTCCAATTTATCGCCTTTTATATTCATTTGTTTCTGCAAAAAAATCCAAATAACTAATTCGATAAAAAACTTATAAAAATTTAAATATTAATTTATAATTTATAAAAATAGTCTCTGATTGAAAAATGTGCAAGAAAAATTGGAATCGATCACGAAGGATAGGTTTTATATATGTATGTAAATATTTATTTTTTATTGTTTTTTATTTTGTTTTTATGCTTAAAAAACAACTTATTGCTTGAAAATGTTCCAGAAATAGCATAAAAAACAACTAAGCGGAACAGAAACAGAGAACAACAAACTTTGCGTTAATTCCTCCTATATTCTTTATTCCTTGAACGAAAAACTTTTTTTAAAATCGTATCTTTTGCCCACATTAATCACAGTATTGTTAGTTTTTGTTTTTAATTTTATATGCGATGAACGGTTTGGACGATTTTTAACGGTTTTTTAACAGTAATATCTGAATGTATCTATCACTGCATATGAACCTAATATTTTCCATTTTGAAAAGAATTTAAAAAGACGAAAAATAACAATTCACCAATAATTCGGCGAAAGCTATATTAACTTCAGCGTCATTCATTTCATCAACACTTTCCAATTCATAAAATTCTGACCGACTAGTTTGCGGTTGAGTTGTACATTGATTTCCCTCAAATATATAATAGCAATTTTCTACAATTATTCGAATAACAAACGAAATCAGTGATAAGAAAACAGATTATTTCGAAAATTATTACAATTATTTAACGAATAAAAAGTAAGAATTTCGATGAAAAATAAAAGAAATAAAATTAAAAGAGATTTGAAGAAAAAGGTTCTAAATTTCCCAACGAGAAAAAACAATTTTCTGTTTTTATTTTATGTTCAATAAAATGAAAAAATAAAATCAATCGTAATAAATTTGTATGTTTGCGTTTCGCATTTCTTGAAAAATTACAAAAAATTAAGATTAACCAAAGTCGAAACTGAAGCCGATGAATCCGAAAAACTGCTTAAAGGACGATTATTTTTTGAATACGCTTGAGAGTAATCTTTCGCGCGTCTCAGCATTGAATCCAACTAAAATAGTCAGTTATTATAGAAAAACAAATAAAACTTTTAATATAACTTTTCTGCTTTTTTTGAAATATTAAGGAAAAATGGAATAAAATAATTTAATACACTATATAAAATCGTCTTTTTTTCACATTTTCAAACTGATTTTTCATTCACAAATATGCAAATTCATAATTTATACAGTTAATAATAATAATAATAATAATTTAATAGTAACAATCTAGTATTAATAATAAATAATATATTAAAATAATAAATAATAAATATTGAATTTAAACAATCGAGCAGAACTTATGTAATATTAAACACTTATAAAACCACAATGATTCTTGTTGGATTGATTTTTAAAAAATATTTGTGGAAATTTTTCGTTTAAGCGGAAAGTGTTTTTCAGTAAATACTTTCAATACTTTCAATAAATTTCAATAAACACTTTCAATAAATTTAATTAAAAGAAAAAACACTGAAAAAATTTTATTTCATCTGAGCGTTTGAAAAAAAACGGAAGAAAAAGAAAAAATTAGAGTTGTTTTTATACGATGAAAAAATTGCTAAAAATAATGATGGAACGAAGCGATAAATTAAGCAGTTTTAATAAATAAATAAAAATAAAAAAATAAAATATAAAAAATAAAATATTTGTAAAATAATAGTAAAAAATAAATATTTATCAGTTTTTTAAAAAAATTTTAAATTAATTTATTATTAAAAAATTATTAAATATTTAATTGTTAAATTAAAAATTAATTAATTAATTGCCAAAATTATTATTATTAAATTAATAAAAAATAATTAATAAATGAAAAATATTTTTATTTTAATTTTATTCCATTGATGACGTTCAAGCAAAGAGACGAAGATAATTCGTTTGACAATAATTTATTTCGAAAAAAATGCGAATTTCGAAAATTTGAATTAATTATTGCGCTGCAAACTTAAAGTCGCATATTACAGCACTAAATGATTTATTTCCATTAGGAAATTTTGACCGAATGAAAACCTTCGCAATTAGATGTAATTGAATATTTTTGTGGTTTTTAATGTTTTCAATAAATTTAATGTTTTTGTATTTAAAGATTTTGTATTTTAAATAGTCAAATTCAGCAAAAAATAAGAAAAATTAGTTTGAAATTAAATTTAGAAAAAATTATTATTATTATTTTAATTATTGTAGTTAAATACAAATTAATTTAATAAATATTTGCAAAATAAAAAAAAAACGGAATTTTAAAAATCTAAAAAAGAAAACTGAATAATTTCAAATAAAATTTTCTTCTAAAAATATTTTCTATAAAAAATTAAATGAAATAAAAATTTAACATTTGATTTTAATCGAAAAAATTTTTTGCATAATTGTTTATCTTTTTTGAAAAGAAAAAACTTTAATATATATAAAAATCGATTAATTATAAAATATTTTTTAAAGGAAAAAGGAGGAAAAAAACTGATTTAAAACGCTGAAGATTTGGTGAGAATTTTTCCAAAAATCCCCTTTTTTCATTTCCATAAAAATAAATTAATCGACATCGCTCAACATTCCACATTTGGCTGGCGGCCATACTGGCTATAAAGGCTTTCCTAGAAAGGCCTAAGATCACTCCAGCAGGCGGTCACACTCAGGACGACTCGAAATAAAAGCGGGTGCGTCGCACCTCCCCCCCCGGACTGCCCTTCCAAAGAAAGGAGTACCCGCGTCAAAGCTGCGTGGGAATCGCATTTGTGATGGTTTGACCGCAGTCAAAATATCGTTCACCTCTATTTATCACCCACAATACATTTTTTATTGAATTTACTTATATTTTAAATATTATATATAGAACTAATAAAAAAAAAATAACCTTCCAGTGGCCAATGTTAAAGTGTTTCGATGAAAAATTATCAGAAATCAGTCGGCGAGCTTTCTTACGTTTATGATTGTCATGATAAGCTTTATCACCGGCATTATCACTGCTATGTTTCAGTGAATCGGCTGAAGAACTGCAATCAATTGTCGCTAATTTTTGTGAATCGCTTAAACAATAATTCGCACAAAAATTTATTCCCTCATTTAGATTAGAAATTTCCGAAATGGAATTTTGGTGATTTTGTAAATCAAAATTGCAATAAATCGTATTTAATATCCTTTCCATTATTTCATTTATAGCATTTTCATCCGATTTATCAACTAATAACGTATTATTTACTATTGTTGAATCGATATCGATGTTTTTTTTTGTAGCTTGCTGATAAGAAATATTATCTGATAAGAAATATTATCAGTAATAATTTCTTTTGGATCATCATTAATTTCTTCTTCTTCTAATATTGTTCCACTATTAACGAATTTCATCGCTTTTTTTGCTGGTGATAATAAAATCGAATTCGAATTTTGATTTAGCGTTTTTGTAAATCGTTTATTTTCAGTTCAAATTGCTCAATGTATTAAGAATGTGAATTTTAACGAAGGAGTCTTTCGAAATAATAACAATGATGGCAGTGCACCGTGATGGCACTGCTGTGGTGCTGGTGACAGTGAATAGTGTGACTGATTGCTGATGAAAATTCTAGTGGTAGTGGTGATAGCGACGATATTGGTGTTGCTGATAACTGATAATGTGGCTAATATTTATGGTTAGCAAATTCGATGATTTCTAGAATAAAATCATAAATTAATGATAATAATAATATTAATGAAAATAATAAGTAGCGAAGAATTTGTAAATAGTTGTTATTGAGAGAACGGGCCGAATTGATTCATTTTTATACAACATTATTGATATTACAAAAGGAGAAAAATTGCTCGGAAAGCATTTATTTATGTATTTACCATTTAATCAATATCAATTAATTTTTAATTCCAAAATTCGTTTCTGCTCTGAAAATTTCTAACTCGGATTATTTTGGCATTCTTTTTATCATTATTTACTTATCATATCAGTAGAATATGTCACAAAAACATTACTCATGCATAAATTACAAATTCGGAAATCATGAAAAAAAGAGCTAAGAAAAGTGATAATCGATACGTAATTCCAATAATCCTCGTTGAATATTTTATCAAATCAGTTCGATATTCGATGTTAAACGATAACGAAATTCTGGTCTAATCGGACAAAGGATTTTTAATATTTTAAGCGGCGCCTAAATCTAAGGCGCCTTTTTAGGAATAAATAGGCTTTCGTTTCTGAGTTAATTTATTTTTAATAAAAATTAAGTAAATTATTATTTGAAGATAGAATTCTCTTTGCTAATTAATTCTTAAATTTTTCATTTTCATTTTCTCAAAAGAGCTTCATTCATCATATTCGTTCGAATTTTTTTTTGTTGGCAGCCAATTTCCTCCTTTTTTTTCGACTAACTTTCCGCTAACCATTTGTCGTTTCGTTCATTCATTCAACGCTTTTGGTGCGAAATTTGGTGCGTCGGACGAAATTTATTTGCCTTCCTTCCTTCGTCGAATTCCGAATCGTTTGTTGTTTGATTCCCTATTTTTCTTATTTTTTTTTATTTTTTTATTTTTCTTTCGTTTAACTTGAAATAATTTCTTTTTTATCAAAGCAAACGAAATATCCTTTTTTTTCTTACAAATCCTTTTTGAAAAATCCTTTTTTGGCAACGAAACTCGGTAATTCATTGGAAATAATCCTTTGAGAGTCTCAAAAAAAAAACTATAAAATTCCTCTGAGAATGAAATGAAAATTTATTATTTTATTTCTAGAAGAATATAAAATATATAAATATAAAGTAAAATATACTTATATAAAGTATTTACAAAAGGAAATCGTTAGGAAGGAAATTTACAAAAGGTTGCGTAAAACATTTCTTGTTTGCTTTCTGCCTCTAGTAAAAGTCACAATTTTTCCTTTGACTAACTCGATAAACTACTAAATCGGCTGGGAATCACTTGAAGATGGAAATATGATATGCACCCTTAGCACCATTTGGACCATTTTCAATAACAGGTTTATTCCATTTAAGGACCACGTACCCTGGAAGCATATTGTTTGATCCCGCTTACCATCTCGCCATGTTTTCTTATTTGTTTTGCTCAAACTCTGATCTAAGAGATCAAAAATTAAGATTGTTGATTTAAACGAAAAAACCCTCCTTTAAATGTTGAAAGGAAATGGTAAAATCGACAGAAATTTCAACTAAAATTTCTGCTGATGGAGAATAATAGGAAAAAAAATTGGCACTGCTTCAAAATTTCTTTGCTAATGACTGATAACAGTACACACAAGGCTTTATCACATATGCGCTCTGGTAAGATCTACCATTTAGGTCATATTGTGAAATAACCTCTTATGGCAAGCGGTGGTACGCTATAAGTTAAGTTGCTTAAGTAGTGAGAATGAATTCTCACTTAAGAAATAAAGCTGCGTCGTAATAGAGGGGCAAAATATACGAGCAAGGAATATGAATAGTCCACCACATGGAGGTTCATGGACTCCATTCCTGTTCTTCGAACTTGTGTCACTGCCACTAAGAACTTAATCCGAGTGGCATTAGAGGACCATCTTTGCTTCTGTAAGCAAATAATTCTCTAGCGAAGTCAGTTAAGCCATTTCAATGTAGAAATGTTGATATTCAAAGAAAAAACAGCGACATATCTTGTTAAAATTAAAGTAAAAATTGATTAAAGGGGAAGAAAAAAATTTGCGTCGACAATTTTTGGTTGGTTGTATTGATGATGAACAGGATTTTATTACCAGAAAATGACATCTTTCGAATAAATTTTAAGACACAAAATTCAATTTAAAAAAAAGGAACGATAAGATAGTGGCACAAAGACTGTGCCATCTCACATCTCCAACACATACCGACTTAATTTAAATTACGTCCCAATTTAAGGCAATCAGAACGAAGCTATCCTTTGGTACCTTCGGTTTCGGTTGCGGAAAAAAGAAAAAATTACGGTGTCAAGTGAGTTGAGGGAAATGGTGCTGGCTGAATTGATAAGATAGAAAGGTGCTCAGTTGATAAGACTGACGCTGCCAGCTCAATAAACTTTGCAT